AAGCAAAATCCATAGCTTAGTTCAATATGACATTTTATTAAAAAGTATCCACTCGATAAAACAGCGCACTCAAATATTTTTCGACACCATTGAAAAGGAACTTATAAGGATTAACAAATGCCTATTAGTTTATCATTCAATCTAATTTTTTAGGTTTTTAAAAAATTCTTTCAATAGTCTCGAACAAATATGGGCACAATATTTCTGATTCTATATGCAAAGAAAGCACAATATTCTGCTTCTAACTCATAGCTTTTGACGTTTTCAAGACATTTTCAAGAGAACCAAAAGAAAATAAATATTTTGTCTCAAAACTTTCGGCTCACCCGCTATTTATATCATTTTTCTATAATAAAACAATCGGTAGCATTTTTTGTGATCCATATACTCGTCGTCAAGGTATTTGGATTATTTAATCGTACAGTTATAGTATATATAGCATTAAGATGGACTTTTTTTCTGGTGAACATAAACATATTTATGAAATAATATCGTATATCTATTTGTATGGATATGAGTATATTAATGTAATATATCAATTATTCATCAATCCATTCTGTGTTATTGAACATTATTGATCAATTCGAAAATGATTTGTTAAGAATTGCTTTACTCATTAAATTATATGAGCAGATTTACAATTTTAAAAAATACTTTTATATGTCAATATATACATATTTCTTTATTTGGATACTTGAAGTAAACTTGAAAGGAAAACTGTGACTATTGGGAAACTCTGCAGCAGATGAACTAAGTAACATTGATCTCACAAGGGAATGGTTTTTCAATCATCAATTGCTTTCACAGTAAAAAAAAAACTACTGCATGTTTGGATGTCAATCATCCTAATTCTGAATATGAACATGAGAACTTTTCTTAGGTCTTCATATAATATACGACTTTTCAAACTAACAAGCATTTGTTCAAAACTGTTTTAGCTATGTTCAGATTAAGAAGCATATCAAGTTGTCTAGAGAGCAATAATCTTTTCTAATTTTTTTTTCAAATGAACATTCAGTAAAACAATATCATCTTCATGATTTTTACATTGAAAAGTTGATAAATTTGTATTGTATAAATTCAAATGGATGTATTTTCTTCAAAACAAAAATGATCTAAAACTGAAAAATTTTACTATTTTCTAGTTAATCCGATATCTTTCATAATCAGGACAGATTAAAAATAAAATATGGCGAAAAGTACACCAGTCCAAAAATTTGATTTTCTGGAGAACCAATATAGGAAGATTTAAAAAGGCTGTTCATGCTCATATTCGGAATCATCACAATCGATCACCTATTAGCTCATAGCTTTTCTGAATGAAATGATTGATCAGTTCAAATGGTTCCTCGATCAGCCTCTTTCTATTAATGTATATTAAAAGAAGTATAGGACTTCATATGCTTGTTTGAATTTTTATCATAGTAGATGTAACTAGAAAAGAAACATTTTAAAATGTGTAGAATATTCGATTGTTTTTCTTTTTCAAATTGAATTCTAAGTCAAATAAATTTTTCATTCTAAATATTCAAGAAGAATAGATTTATTATAATTCAAAGTTATATCAGATCTTTTTATTTCATTCATAGCAAAAGTCATTTTTTGAATTGAATTTCAATAGAAAAAGTATATACTTTAAAAGTCATAGATGTAGTAACGAGACAGAATACTTTTTATGAGACCAGACCTTCTGGATATAATGAAGATTATATAATAAACTAAATACTGCTTTAGAAAAAACAAAAAAAAATTTTTCAAAATTTGTCAATGAATAATTAACACATAATGTAACATAAGAAGGTAAGATATTTGAGAAGATTTATTCAAATTGGAAAAAATCTAATTCAGAATAGAAAAATTCTCATATGAAATTAGGATACTATGAAAACACAAACCTATGTAAATCTCTTAAAATATTACTTTCTATTAACACTTCGTCTAACACCTTGGAAATAAATCCGAACTTCTTTCTAATTATACTTGTGCAAATATAATTGCATAGAAATTCGATATTAACATTATTGATTACTAACTGTTATTTCGCAATAATTACTAATCTAGTTGACAAAAACTTGTCATATAATAATAATAATAATATATGATACGGGTCATCAAAATTGTTAAATATCATTCGATTAAAAGAGATCACTTGCTAAATTATATCTATTCGTTTTCATTCAGTTCCAACTGAACAAGATAAGTTTTTTTCTTTGAACAATAACTATCCTGCCATTTTTTGCAATATTGGCATATATATTTCATGTTTCTCTTTATTTGATGCATCATTCCAATGAAAATATATATGAAAGTTCTCTAAGTTCCATTACATTTGTTTTGGACACCCTTTATTTTACATTTTCATTCTTTTTATGAAATTTTTCATAGTAATTGAACTAAATGAACTTTATATTTATTTGTTAGTACAGTAACTCTAGGATTTGGTATTGAATGGCGCTATTTCAATATGTGTATAAATTTATTAGAACACATATGAATTGCTGCTGAATTGATTTCTGCATATTTATATCTAATATTGATTATTTTTTAATTTTTTCCATCTCTTTCTAATATAGAATAGCCAAACGAAATTTCTCAACAAACTTACATATTATATCAAAAATGAAAATCTAATAAACCAGTAATCAAATACATTAACTAACGATCGTTTGAATACTTAAATTTATTTTTACGCATTAATATATTTGAAAAAGAAAATGAGAATAGTAATATGATGCTTTTAAGCAAAATAGAATCGAAAGCAAACATCAATTGATTTTTATATTAAAAGAAACGTGCTTCAGAGGTTTGTTTTCTCTTCAATATCTCACTTAAATAGCTATTCATTGAATCTCCAATTTACTATTTAGTCGTTGATAAAGAATCTTAATAGAGAAGACGAAAATAATTCATCTTCGTTGATACGATTAAATTAAAAATGGGCTTCTTTGATTTACATGAACCTGAAGATGGACAAGATCGTTTTTTTTTATATGCAATGATTATTCTTCCATTTTGTTCTTCAGGTTCTTATTTATTTGATGCATGGTATCATTATCAATATCATTCAAAAGAACGTAGTTATGAAGGGCTTTTATCAACAATAATGATTGTTTTTTCTGATTTACAATATTGTGCACCAATACGTTCACGAAAAGTTTTAGCTATTTATTATATATTATTATTTATTATAAAAGAATCAGCAACAATCGGCTATTTACTTTATTATATACATGAAAAAGAAATATTTAAAATAATATTCTATAGTTGTTTTTTACTTTTTGATTTATTATTTACAATTGGTTTAATTTATTGTCGTGTTATGAATGAATATGAATCTCATATTGTTGTTGAAAACAAACATCTATTTCATTTTATGTCACGTTTAGAAGTTCTCTTAACAATATATATACGTGTTTTTATAGATCCTAAATATACATCATTAACACGTCATATCATTGCATATTTTCTTTTATTTGATTTTTTTTCTGATTCGTATTCAAGATTTCAAGGAATATGGATTAAATCAGCATTATATTTATTTGCAACAACAACAACAATATCTGTTGCAACTGAATGGCTCCATTTTAATCATGAATTAGTGATATATGAAAAAATTTCATATTTATCGGAACTTCTTGCAACTGTATTCTGTGATATAATTATTATTTTACAATTTTTTCCATTTCATTTTAAAACTCAACATGTACAAAATATTGCCCGAGAAGCTTTACTTTTTCAAAAACAATTATATGAGATAAATGCAAGCTCCAATGTTTCAGAAAGCAGCGGAAGCGACACGATAAACGATGCCAAGACGAACGCTGGCGAAGAAACTCAAACTTATACGAACACAACTCTTTAATGGAATAATTTTCTATTTTTCTTGAATATTCGCTTATTATTGTAATGAGATACCGAATAATTAGTTTGTTTTGAACAAAAAAATATCTTTTGTAATAAAAACTATTTTTTGCGTCGTTTGTATAAATACATGCGACGACATCTACAAAAGATTTTAATGTTTTTTTTTAACATCCTTTTTATCATATTATTATATAGAAAAATTGAAACTTCTTTGAAAATCTTTATTATTTCCATTAGAATTTCGAGTAATCATGTAATCGGTTAATTTCTAGACCAATTAAGAATATTTCGTCATTTGTAATATTCATTATTACTTGACTCGCTGCATTGATCCTATATTTAAAATTATGGCTCCACCGATCACTCAGCAAGCAACAACAAATCCAAATTCAACGTCAGGTGGTAGTTCAATATCAACAAATCGTCTTGAACGTGATTCTAAAAAACATGATCGCCGGTGAGTATATTTTTGTACATTTTCTATCTAATTTATTAATTTATTTTCTAGATCTGATCTTGTCTGTCGTGTTCGTTATACAAATGTTCTACCTGATCTTCCATTTGATCCAAAATTTCTTCGATATCCTTTTAGTCAAGACAGGTTAAATTAGTTTCTATAATTTTAAGATAGCATAAAATATTTTCTTTTTGTTTTTCATTAGATTTGTTCGTTATAAACCAACATCTTTGGAAAAAAATTATCGTTGGGATTTACTGACAGAACATGATGTTGGTGTTGAAATTGATCTTATTAATCCTGATGCATATGCTACAACAAGTATAAATTTAATTTTTATCTTTTGAATTTAAAAGATAATCGAATTATTTCTTTCGAAATTTTTAGGAAAGATTACAGAAGAAGATGAAAAATTATTAGAAGAAGAAACAGCTAGTCCAGCTAATCTTAAACGGTATCAAGAGATAGATAAATATTAGTTTTTAGTTCATATGGAATTTTGATTATATTTTAGATCATTATTAAATCAACGAAGTGTACCATGGCTTCGTAAAACAGAATATATTTCAACAGAACAAAGTTCAATTAAATCAACTTTGAAAATGGGTGAAGTCAGGTATATAGTTCAACACTAATGAAAAAAATAATTCAAATTAAAAGAATTAAATCAATGAATAATAATAAATTTTCTAATAGGCCATACTGAAGAAAAAAAAATAATCGAAACTTCATGACGCATAGAAAACTTTGTGAAACTTTATTATGTATTTTTCATTATCGTAAGAATGTAGGAAATCTCATTTAAATTTCAAATCTTAGAAGACTTTTTTTATAAAAATTGTTCTCAATATTAAAAGTATCGTCATCGAAAGATTTCATATCTAGATATTCATTCTTTTTCTCTTATCTATCGCAAAAATAGTTGTTGACCAATCAAAAAATCTAAATTTCTTTGCTGAATATTTGAAATCTTTAACATTAGTCTGAAAGAAACATAGTATATATTTGCTTAATAGTTTTCTTTGTTTGTATTTTATGAATCAGTATGTTTACAGATGTATTCTAACTTTTGCAATGTTTATTATTTGAAAGTATTGCCATGGCATTTTTCACACCTTTATTCATAAAATATTAATTTGTTCAGTAAATAGATTATACTACTGAGTTATTCTTTTCATAATGCTCATATTGATTTAGAATTATGCAATGCTAATTCATTTTCATTTTATCATAAACAGGGCTGATAAAAGCAAGTAATATAAGTTGATATAAGAGACTAGACACAAATGAAATTATTACATATTAAGATACTTAGGGCAAACCAAAAGTTCGTAGAACGGTTTTAAAGAACCTTGTCGGATAAGGTAACCTATTCAGAAATGAAAAACCAAATATATCATGTTGTAGAGCTTTTGAAGATGCGTCAAATGGTATATAGTAAATCCTGTTTTCATAAGATTTGGAAGGAACTAGAGTCAATTTATTGATAGACGACTACACACCCACACTGACAAGATGATCGGAGATGCTACATATATGAGGTTGTAGTCCGTCAAAAACTCTGCAAAATTGTATGTGAGAAAAAATATTTTACAAATACATTCGACTAATCTCAAGGACCACAATATTCAGTAACCTATCATACTTAGGTGAGGGTGTGAGTATGGGTGCGTAGTTGTCTATCAGTAAATTGACTCTAGTTCCTTCAAAGTCTTATGAAAACAGGATTTATTATATACCATTCGACGCGCCTCAAAAAGCTCTACAACATGGTATATTTGGTTTTTCATTTCTGAATAGGTTACCTTATCCGACAAGGTCCTTTAAACACCGTTCTACGAACTTTTGGTTTACCCTAAGCAGATAGACAGACATATTCCGTGACTGTTAAAATTATCCCATTAGTACATATTAATATGTTTTGTGTGTATAAAAAATAAGATGAATTAGAATCATCTAGTTTCCTTCAGATCACAGTCTATAGTCCTTTAGTATTCTAATAAAGAATATCAGGTCAATCTGTTGTTTTCCGTAACGATACAGTCGTAGTATGCCATTTTTTTTTAGTATTCTAAAATTATCTAAACATATTTTTGTGTATATTCTTGCATGCCTATTTCAAGTTGAAATTTTCTTTGTGACACTTGATCTAATACAGGAAATTGCGTTCGACCTAAGAAATAATTTTTTACTGTAGCTTTCTTTTAAGTAAAGACCAATAGATCATGTTTGTTTGATCCTTACCAAAAATCACTAGCAAAAAGATGACATTAGACTTTTTCATATGATGTTTACTCTAAGCGATATTATATTGAACATATTATGAAACTGAAAAAAGATATTTCGAGTTAATTTCAATTCTCAGAAATTTTATAAAAAGAAGTTTTTTTTTCTTTCATTGCGCAGAAAATTAAAAAAAGAAATTAAATGAGAAAATTTTCAATACTGAAAACTTTTCGAGAAGATATATTTTATTTAATGAAAACTTTTAAAAATATTGTAATGAACCTTGTCTGTATAAAGTTTTTTAAAAGTTAAGAGATGATAGCAGTACTCAAATAATATTGTTTATTTCTCTATCATCAATTAGATTTCTTTTTTTTATGATAATCGAATAATTTTTCCACTTCAATATTTTCATTACTAGTTCGAATATCTTCTTTTGTATTTAGATCAAGTTCTGCTAAAGAAAAACTTCGTGAAGAATCTCTTAAATATTTAACAAAAGATCGTCTATTACAAATGATTGAAGAAGGATTTGAAACTGCCAAAGCTCCAGTAAATATATTTTATAATTATTTTTTGTTTTAGTTAATTTTTTTCTATATATTTAGCTTGAAAAACATTATAGTAAACCATCAGTAGTTAAAGTTGAAGAATGGCCATTATTTCCTGATTTTGAAGTATATTTTATATTATAAATAAAATAATGAAATAATTTTTATTTATAGAATTGGAAATATCCATTTGCACAAGTTATATTTGATGATGATCCATCACGTAAAGATCCTACATTAACAACACAAGAACAAATGGAAGAAATGTCTGAAGCAGTTATTAAGTAAAAATTAAAAAAAAAATTTATTTGTTGTTTTCCTTGTTTTTTAGTTTTAAATTTATTTTATAGAGCCTTAATTGATGCTGATAATAAAGAATATATTGGTTATTTTCTACCAACGGCTGAAACACGAGCAAAACGTGCAAGAGAAGAACAAGATGATCCAGATGAATCATATGATTTTAAATTAATACGTGAATATAATTGGAATCGTAAAGATAAAACAATGAGTGGTTTTGAAGAAAATTATTTTCTAAGTGTTAAAGATGATTCTATTGTTTACAATGAACTTGAAACAAGGTAAATAAATAAAAAAATCGAAGAAATTTTCAATAACAAAATAAAAAAAAATATTTCTTTATTTATTTAAGAGTACGATTAAGTAAACGACGAGCTGCTGGTGGTGGTGCAAAACCGGCTAATCTTCGACTTATTCAACGTTATCGACCATTTCTTGAGGCGGAAGAAAAACTTCAGGTTGAGTTTAATATAAAATAGTAAACTCTGTTTTTTTTTCTATATATATATATTATTTTTCTAGAGAAAACGATTGAAAGCTCTAGAAAATGAAGAAGAATTAGAGACTGTTAATGGTAAATAATATTTTTTCGTTTGTTTTTTTTTTATTGAGTTTAATTTTCAATTTAATTATATTTAGAAGAAGAAAATGAAGATGAAATAGTTGAACATGATGAAGAAGAAGACCAAGAACAAGAAGACGAAGAGGAACATGATGAACAACAACATCAAGATGAAGAGAATGGAGAGGACGAAGAAGAAGAAGTTGAAGACGAACAATCTAATGATTAATACAAATAAAAACAAAAAAAAACTTTTATTAATTTCTTTTTCATGTAAATTGTGTATTCTTGATTGAATGGCGATATTAACTAGTTTTTCCTATCGTCTAAAATGAAAAATTTGCAAGAAATTTTGCTTTCAGAAAAATTTTTTCATCATCATTGGTATTAAAAGTATTGAAAACAAACTTTTAAATCATATATTCACAATTTGATAAAATGTGATACAATTAAAAATTATGAACCTTTTAGACTTTTTTTTCAATTGTCTACGTACGTTTATTTTTAATTTTGCATTCAATGTAATTCATTAAGATACTTACAGAAAAATTGAACTATAATAAATGCAAAATTTTCACTATTTCATTATATTCAACAACATCAATCTTTTGTTTTACTAACATGATATGAGTATATTATGCAATTAGATATGAGAATTCAATGTACATAATAAACTCGAAAAGTGTTGTCTCTCAGTCTAATATCCGCCTTCTCAAGTAGAATGAATAGAGACTCATTTTCTAGCTTCATACATCATAATTCAATGGAATAGAAAAACATTCTGACATTATGTATTCTTTTTATTGGTATCGTTAAAGTGAGAAAAAAATCATTAGCTCTCGACCTTGAGCTTCTTATATATGATGATCAATCAATTTTAACTTTATATCGTGCAAAACAATAATATTAGTTCTTTGACTCTTCCTACAGTATAGAATAATTCTCATAAAGTTAATTATTGAACATTTCAAGTTCAAATTTTGATTTCGGTTTGATGAAGACACAAGATGACACAAGTTAACTTTAACATATAATGAATATCTATGAAACAGTTAGTTATTGTGTGTTCATAGTTCAATGAGAAATACAATGCAATGTGATATATGATTCAGTCAAGTTATAAGGTCTAGATGAGATCTTGACAAAAAATTTAATCATTGTTTTGATCATATAGCTATTGATCATGTTTTTAATTATTATTCAATTTCTATTCACTCTAAAAAAATTGCCAGTTCTTCTTTTTCGGTTTTTTGAAAAACACAGATCTTATTCGCCAATGATGATTGTTTGCAATCATATACATTTTAATATAAGACAAATTATTCAAGTATCCAAAATTCAAGTACAGTAATACCTGTAGTATATACCCACTTCATTGATAATTTAGGACAGAATGTTTCTAGCTGTTTGATACCGATGTAAGTCATAGATTGATCCTATGTAGGACTCCATGGGGTCCTAATGCAAAACCAAAAGGATTCACGTTCATACCCTGTTCTTCCTGGTTTATGACTGCTTTACTGAAATTTGAACCTCAGGTAAGCTATTTGACAATAGTGCGAATGATATTGTTTTTTTAACTGTTATGGAATTTTCATTTGAAAAACGGGATGTCTTCTTGAAATATTGAATGAACAAGCAACTATTGTATTTCGAAGGTAAAGCCATAAGACCGACTTTTTTTGATCATTGAATATCTCGAGAAGAAATCGTGTGGCAAATAAAACTCTTCAAGCAATCTAACAAAAGCAAGGTCATTAATGGGCTATATTTCAAGTTAAACTTGCGTTATTCCAAGTTTTTCGAGATAGTTTGTCTGGCGTTGAAGTGTCAGTAAAAAAGTCATAAGTCTTGAAGGACAAAGTAGAGATCCAAATCCTTTTGATCTCTCACTAGTGTCGTTGAATTATACATATGAACAAACTATAAGCTCAATCGTCGTCGAACAACTAGCAACATTCTCTCATCTGCATATTCACTATCTTTATCATGAAATTGATGGTATTCATTTTTTTATTTTGTTCTGCTAATCTCGTACCAGTCGACTATAAAATAATGCTTAAAAGACGTTGTTTAATTTGAAATTATTTCAACAAAACATGTTCTCAGTGGCTAATGCAGAAGATTTTTAAAAGTCCATTGGCTTCCTTGGACAAAATATCGTTTTCTTTTTTTTTTATCTTATATTTCGTTTCAAAGGCTAAAAACAATGATTTTTGCATATTCGAGCTTCATTAGTCATTCAATCACACATACAAGTTCATGACAGCTTGATATAAGTTCCTCATACTTCGAGATGAAAGATTTCATAAAAGAAAAAATTTCATCTTCTAAACATGATATCTATTCAAAGCTTATACTGTTACATGATTGTAATCTTTAAATAAATCAAGCTTCTTTCGAAATCCTCTGCATTAATTAGTTTTTCTATATCATATAATGTAAATCACCTAAGCATACATAAACCTCTTTGTTTGACTAATTACACAAATTTAACGTTAATTCTAAGATATTAATAACGAATAATGCGGATATGAAAGTAAAAGTATCACTTTATTTTTCATTGACTCAAGCATATTTTGGAAGCATCGAGAATATCTATTCACAATGCAAGTTAAAAGCTGTTTGTACTGTGTATTCAAAAAAATTCTAGTAAATTTTATTTTTAAATATGGAGTGAATCTTCGAACGTCACTCAAATGTGTTCCATAAAAAAAGGGATTGACCTGGCTGCAGTACAAGAAAGGGATCTCTCAATATTTTGGAATTATCTTCTATACATTCCATTGTAATTCATTGCTCTTGCTTTCATTAGATTCTCCATTTAATTCTTTGACAAACCGGTAGAAAATAATGGAAAATTGACTTAGTTGACATGATGAAAAAATAAAAAAAGTGATTGCATACAAAAATGCTCTAGGGAAGAATGATGTGTTTATACGGGTGCTATAGAATTGTTATAGCACCGCTTCATGATATTCTAGAAACGATGAATATGAACATTCAACTTTTCGATTTGACTCGCACGTTCGAAGAAAGTGAAGGAAAAATCGTTGTGAATATCACATAAAAACCTAATCTGTATTAATCATCACTCAATTGAGCCAGTTTTTACTCCACAAAATAACGGATTGCATAGTTACATGACAGAAGAAGTTATTTCAATACTTTCCTACTAATGAATAAACTACAGAAACTTTACACAAAGCCCGGGTTCTTATTCCTAGGAGACAAACATTTCTTTATTTGAGTTCTCTAATGAAAAAACTTTCCTGGAGCAAATAGTTTTCCGAATATCCTACAAACTTGAACGATTTCTGTCAAATTGCATTGACACAGAGAATTAAGTTTCTGTACTTCTCGTTTCTCGATAATTGTAGAGAACAAATCAACATTATTCAATGAAATAAGTACGATTAGCTCATGGAACTTATTACAATAACCATTTCGAGGTATTTTTTACAGAATTCCTCGGTATATCGTTCGAAAAGTTTCTCAAGATTCAAAAACAAGGCATAATAACATTTCATTTCAACATATAAATAGAAATATTTACCATGGAGAGTCTATATAGATGTCCTCGATTTTTTCAAAGAATAGTTTAGCTGATTAAAAAATGAAGCGACATTCTTTCAGGTCATTTCCTTGTTGCCGAAAGTGAGAAACCTCTAATTTAAAATATTATGGACTGTTATTTTACCATTAATATAATGGATATAGTTTGTTGTAAACTAATGTTACGTCGAGAACCATGCTTTGAATATTCATTATTCTTCAAATTCTCAAAAGACAGACCATATACTTTTCATGACATACACAATACTTTTATTTAAACTAATTAAATTTCGATAACATTTGCTTTGTTCTGATTCAAAAGTGGAAGTAAACGGTGTTTATTCTTGTTTTTGTTATTCATTTTTATTAATCCCGATGATTTTTTATGGTTTTGACAACAAATAAATTGAATAAAACTCTCTCGAAATGATGTCGATATAATAAGATGAATGTAAAATTTAGTCGAATAATTAATTGATGAAAATATTAAAAAGCAATTGTATAAAATTTTATATATTTTCAATCGTATTGAACAACGTATATCATCATAGAAAAATCGATCATATAAAACAAATATTTCGACAATAAATGCTGGTAATAAAGATAGAAAGAACCAAAGTGAAAGTAAAAAAATTAGTACTGAACGTTTATGCATACGTCGAGCATTTAAACTTAAAGCTCTTTTATGCTTGCGTTTGTGTTGACGTCGATTATTTAGTAAAATAATTGAAGATATACATACAATCAATGATGGAATAGATACAAAAAGAATTGTATGTATTAATGATATGAAATGAATTCGTTGGCGATTATTTGATGAAGTAAAATTACAAAGAAATAATATAGCTTTTGCATCATAATGTAAATAAAAATAATGAGGAATTAAAACTAAAGTAATTACTAAACAAATCAATATAATACGACATATCGCATGAGGTCGTGTAACTATTGAACGATAACGCATTGGACAAAGAATCATGATACTTCTATCAATAGAAATCGATGCTAAATATAAATTCGACAATGTTGTTGAACCAATAAGGATGCAATAGAAAATACCACATGATAATACATGTCGAGGATCAGTTTTGATAAATGACATATTTACACACCATAACCAAAACACACCTATTCGAATAAAATATTTCAGTCGTGATAGCTAAAAAGAACTATATTTCATCTTAGTATTGATGTTTTGTTCTGTTACAAGCCTAAGTTGTCGCTCAATTATTTATGTTGACTTCTGAATAATGTCTACATCGGGAATCTGTTATCTAGAAATTTTTGTCTGATGACGGTACTTATTCATGTCAACGTCCACTTATGTTTCTTAATAAGTTTTGCGGAGATTTTCATTTCTAGTATTCGATGCATACTAAGTCGAACAAAAACAACTGAAGTCAATTGTATAAGTTGTATATGATATGGCTGTGCTGGTCTAAAGCAATTATTTTGTACTTATATTGTCCTAAATATAAGAATATAGAATTCATACAAATACAAACCTATAAGGAAGATTAATTCACATATTGAAATAGCAAAAAAATACCATGTGTTAGATTTGTTTCGATTATTTTTGTTTAATAAAATGATTATATGAAAAATATGACCTGGGATACCAATTAT